AACCCTGAATATTCATTGGAAGGACTGATGTTGAAGCTGAAGCTCCAATACTTTGCCACCTGATGCGAAGAGCCAACTCATTGGAAAAGACCCTGATGCTGGGAAAGATTGAAGGCAGGAGGAGAAGGGGCAAGAGAGGATGAAACGGTTGGAATACATGGCTGACTCTATGGACATGAGTCTGAGCAAACTCCGGGAGATAACGGAGGACAGGGAAGCCTGGCATGCTGCAGTCCATGGGGTCACAAAGAGTAGGACACAACTTAGTGACTGAACAGCAACAAATAAAAAACTGGGCAGTCTTACCACCCAGGTTCTCTCTTGCTGACACTGTGGAAGTACTCTNATGGATGAAACTGGAGCCCATTATACAGAGTGAAGTAAGCCAGAAAGATAAAGACCAATACAGTATACTAACGCATATATATGGAATTTAAAAAGATGGTAACGATAATCCTATATGCAAGACAGAAAAAGAGACACAGATGTACAGAACAGACTTTGGGACTCTGTGGGAGAAGGCGAGGGTGGGATGTTCTGAGAGAATAGCATTGAAACAAGTATATTATCTATGGTGAAACAGATCACCAGCCCAGGTTGGATGCATGAGGCAAGTGCTCAGGGCTGGTGCACTGGGATGACCCAGAGGGATGGGATGGAAAGGGAGGCAGGAGGGGGGATCGGGATGGGGAACACATGTAAATCCATGGTTGATTCATGTCAATGTATGGCAAAACCCACTATGATATTGTAAAGTAATTAGCCTCCAATTAATAAAAATAAATGGGAAAAAAATAAAAAATAAAACAGAGTGATCAGAATTACATGAATATCTATAGTTTTTCTTGGTAAAGATAATAATGAACTGGACTAATCCATGATGATTTTTATCACTATGAAACAATTTTGCTTCTCTTCCTTTGAAATATATAATAGGCTCTGATAGTGTGATAGAACAAGAAACACATATTTGGTCTTCCTCCTGGTTCCTGACACAGAGCTTCCATAATCCTTGGAATTTTCTGATAGGAGTGAAAGGAGCATGTTTTATTATTTATAATAAGCCCCTTCCAGCCACCCAAGAGTTCATGCTAATGAGGTGACTCCCAGTTTACACCTACATAGTTTCAAAATGAGGGGTTATTACAACATTGTAAATCAACTATATTCCAATATAAAATAAAATTAAAAATAAAAATAAAAAGTATATTCTGATTGTCAGAAGAACAACTTATGTGATCAAAAAGTTGAAACTTTCAGTCCCAACCCTGACCTCTGAAGAGGGGAGACAGGCTGAAGACTGAATTAATCACCAATGACCAAGGATTGCATCTGTCATGCCTATATAAAGGAAGCTCCATAAAAATCCAAAAGGATGAGGTTTAGAGAGCTCTGGTGTCGGTGAATGTATCAAGGTGCTGGGAGGGTAACACACCAGAGACTGCAGGATGCTGCACCCACCCTCCCCCACAAAAATGTTCCCTATGCTTCTCTTCTATCTGGTTGTTTCTGAGTTGTGTCCTTTATAATAAATTGGTAACAGTAAGTAAAGTTTTCCTGAATTCTGTGAGCTGTTCTAGCAACTTATCAAAACCCTGAGGTGTGGGGTTGTGGACCTGTCAATTTACAGCCTGTAGGTCAAAAGCACAGAGGCCCAGGTTTGTGATGGGTGTATGAAGTGGGGATGGGAGGAGAAGAGATAGGTTTGTGAAACTGATTCGTTTACTTGTGGGATCTGTGCTAACTCTGGGTAACTAGTGTCAACATCGTATTAAATTATAGGACATCTAGTTAGTATCTTCATAGAAATGAAGAATTTCTTGGTTTGGAAAACTCCCACCTTTGGTTTCAGAAATGTTGCAAGTAGAAACAGATCATACACAGTTCAGGCTAAGATAGTTGGAGACACCTTAATGAATTTGTTACACATTAATACAAATGAATAAAAATACTATTAGTTGGGGAAAACAGTTCATGTTTGACTACTAGCATATAAAATGGCAAACCATCAATGCCAGATACAGTCCCAAATAAATAAAGTTAAAAAAAAACTGTACACAACTAATTATTTCCCACTATAGTTATAACAAAGCAAGAATCCCTAGAATTACTGTAGGAATGTTTAGATTTAAGCAAGCTAGCCTGTTACTCTTTATCCTTTCTCCCTCTGCATGACTGAAGTCATTGAGATGGTCAAACTCTTTCAAAAACATGTTCTTCAGCATCCCAGGATACACTGTCTAAGATTCTACCACCTGATCAAGAGAATGCATCTTAATTAGGGCAACATAGTGAAGGGGAACAAACCAAAGCATTAGAATTTGATAGACCTAGCCTGGAATCAACCCCTTGACATCTATAATCTTGGACAAGCTATTTAATTTGTCAGACAGGACTTAGCAAGTGAACAATAACAAAACCTTCAGGTTTCTTGTACAAAATAGGAGTAATAATAGAAAGTTTGGTTGTTGTGGGAATTAGATGTAAGGCATAGGTATATGCTCAATAAATGCTAGCTACATATAATATTTACACAACTTGCTATTTGCTTATAGACATATAGTTACTCCATGAGCATTCATTTCTTTTCCCAACTATATTATAGGCTTGATGAGCCAAAGTCTTTGCTTTTGAGTGGTTCACAATCTAGTAGACCAGTTAGAATAAGGTAGTGTCAAATCTATTTTCACACCCCTAGAATCATGGGTGCGTTAAGAGTTCCCAATGTCCCTAAGAGGAAGAAATAAGATTGGTTTGATCACAAAGAAAATAGTGGCCATCAGACTACCATTGTGACTGAGGAGAGAGCTGGTTGAAGGGTTTCTGGGTGGCTTATCCCTGAAGGGAGTGTGGGTGTCCACAGAATGGAGAATGAGGTCCCAGGCTGAACTGGGCTATGAAGAGAATTAGAGGTTTTGGGGAAATGGTGGATTATGGATGCATGTGTGCATGGAAGTCGCTTCAATCATGTCTGACTCTTTGTAACCCCAAGAACTGTAGCCCACCAGGCCTCTCTGTCCATGGGGATTCTCCAGGCAAGAATACTGGAGTAGGTTGCATACCCTTCTCCAGGGGATCTTCCTGACCCAGGGATCGAACCCGCATTTCCTGTGGCTCCTGCATTGCAGGCAGATTCTTTACCACTGAGCCACTGGGGAAGCCTGGATTATGGACGCTGCTGCTGCTGCTGCTGATGCACTTCAGCTGTGTCTGACTCTGTGCGACCCCATAGACGGCAGCCCACCAGGCTCCCCCGTAAAAAACAGATGCAACTGAAATTCAGTGTACAGGAGTGAGCTCTGGCCTGGTACTATCCCTGAGGGTTTTGAAATATTTTTGTAAGTATGCGATTATAATTCTCAAAAATGTATATTATTTGAAGTATATCTGTTTTATATTAAGGACAGATGACTTTACATCTCTACCAAGCAATTCTTTCAAGAACCTAAATTGAGAAACTGCTAGAGACTATAGGATTGCACTTACACACATGTTGATGTTTCACCTAAACAATCACAACAACCAGCTTTAAACATTCCTAAGATTAATGGCAGCAGCTGTCAGCCAGAGAAATGACAGTTCTCCCGTATTAGCAGAAAGAACATGGTTACAAAGGTAAGAGATGTGAGTTACCAAATTAATTTTTAATTCACCAAAGCCCATGAAAACAAAGAGACCTTTCTTAGGCCTGGATCTGAAAGTTATCTCCACATAATAATCAGTTGCTTAAAGTTCAAAAGGAAGAGAATATGAAGCAATAAACACAGCTCTTTCTGTCTCTGTATACAGGGCCGCATGCTTCTAAAGACGGATCCACCCAACAAAATTATCTTTGGGAACCAGTAGAGCAGCAATGGGAACTGGGTCTATTTTTTCAAGTTCTTTTCTGAGTTCTAATTAGACTTTGAAAACTCCATAATGAGAATAAGTAAAAAACTAACAATCTACTGTAAGCTGCCTGAGAGGATATCTACCTGTATGTATACCCGCACCTTTGAATTTTATTCCTAAGAGCTTTAAGATATGAAAGGACATCTGCTATATTTATTATATACATATATCTTAAGGGATCTTTACTTTAAAAAAAATTTTCATGCTTTACTCCAAGATTTGTCTTTCTTTCAGCTTTCCATATTTGAGGAGGCAAGCTTATCATCAGTCCTACAAATCAACCCTGGCACCAGCAACAAATGTTAGTAGGTGTTGGAATTGTCTCAGAAGAAGACAGAAAGCTAAACTCTTGGGAAACATCCATTTATAGCTCAAATCCATTTGAGCGGCAGATATACAAAAGAACAGAGAAAGGGGACCAAAACCCACTGTAAAAGCATTCTACCATGGTGCTCATACATTACATGATGTACAAAAAATACTATATAACTCTCTATTGGTATAGTCAATTTTTTTGTTATTTCATCTCTTATTTCTTTCAAACTTGCTACCCATACATACTTTTTCTTCTGTTTCTCGCTTGCTATTCTCCTCAGTTATCACAACCATTTAGTTAAGGAATCTCTGATCTTCTATGGGGGAGAGAAGAGGCAGAAAGCCAGACACATGGTCTCAAAACTTATTAAAGAACCTCCTCCTTAGAAAAAAACCCTGTTTAAAATAAATTCTTTATTTCATGTGTCTTGCTGTGTTGGACTGTGTGGTAAACATAACTCTTGGCGCTGAAAACACAAGGTCTGAGGAGATGAAATAGACAAGAGCCAGACTTTCTGTTGAGTGTTTCTTACCACAACAGACAGACATTGGATTTTCTTTCTTCTAGAGAGTCTTAAGAAGCATCAAATGACAACAAGGTCTAGTTCAGTCTCCACACCTTAGAGAGGCATCACTCTCTTGGCCTTTGAACTAGAATGTGCTGTGGCCAAGAACCCGGCAATGAAGGCTGATGGACCCCCCGTGGGATCAGAACAAGGCAGAAAGCGTTTGCTCACACACGTACATGGTCCATGCCCTAGACTGAAGGATGCTGTCGGTTCAAAGTCACTTACCCAAATCTGGAGCTTAATTCTCTTTTCATTTTTGAACACAGTTTTGACTTTGAAGTCGATCCCGACTGTGCTGACGAACGCAGACGTGAAGGAGTCATCCGCATAACGGAAGAGGAAGGATGTCTTCCCCACGCTGCTGTTGCCAATGATGAGCAGTTTGAACATGTAGTCAAAGTTCTGGTCAGAGGAGTCTTTCTGGCCATGCCTGGCATCCTGGGCAGAGGCCATCTGTGGGGGAAAAACAAGAGGTGTGGATGAGGCTGCCGTTTGCTATGAAGCTAGCAGCACATTCATTATTGGCCTTGCCAGAAACAGATGTCAGACCACTTAGGAGACAAGTTGAGAGAGCTCCCCAGCCTTCCTCTGATGCTGGTATCCATGGCAATAATTCCCTGCTGGAAGACAGCAAAGCAAATCTTACGGCTCTTTCCAGCTGTGTTAGTGTTCGTCACTGCTCAGCATTCAGAACGAATCAAAGACACCAAAGGAGATGTAACATGAAAAGCGAAGATATGAGGGCATGCAGACTCTGGAACTTTGTAATTCCAGTGACGGCGACACCAAAGTGGCCGAACAGCAGGGTGCTTTTTCCTCAGTTATCTGAATTATTAAGGTCTCTCTTATTTTCTAGGGAAGCATACCCAAAGCCTATCTCTATTTCAACTATTAATATCACCTTAAGTCAACATCCTTACATACATGATCAATCTCTTTCAAATAAAAAATAATGATAATGACAAATATATATGGTTCAAACAATGTGCCAGGAATTGTTAACCCTCATCACAACCCTATAAGTGGGTGCCTTTATTATTTACGTATTAAAAGGAGACAGTTGAAGCTCAGAGATACTAAGTAATTTGCTCAATTTCACACACTTTATAAGTAGTAGAGGCAGGATTCAAATCAACCAGTGTGGTGCCAGGGTTCATGTTCTTAACACCTTCCAGCCCAGTTTCCAAAGAGAACTAAGGAAAAATGCACATATGCGCTAAAGACAATGTGGGAAAGATTCATTGCGGATGCATTCATGAAGAACTCTACCTGGGTTCAAACCTTGGTTCCACCACTTACTGGCTCTGGAATACTGAGGTTTTTAAATTTTAAAGCAGTGTACCTCAGTTTCCTCTCTTCTATGAAATGGAAAAAAAAAGTACTATCCAACCTGAAACACTTCTGAAAATAACCCATGGTAAATCTGTATGACAGATGTTTAAAGAGACCAACATAGAATAAAGAATAATCTCTATAGTAATTAAAAATCCTCTGGGTGGATTTTTCCTCACCTTTTTTCAACGACCATTTTAACATCTATCAAAAATCCTGCTGCACTGCTCTAAGTGACATCTGGCTCCGTATAGAAACGAGGCAGTTAAAAGGGTGGATCCCACTGATCAGCGCATTTTCCTGATTATCTTTGCCGCTGCTATGGATTCTTTCTTTTCTGTGCTCTTCAATACAGTGGCTACTATTCACATGTGCCTGTTTATATTTAAACTAAATACAATTAAACATTCAGTTCCTCACTCACACTAGCCACATTTCAAACGCACAAGAACTACCTGAGGTCAGTGGCTACAACACTGGATAGGGCAGGTCCAGGGCACTGTCATAACTGCAGAAAGTTCTACTGTCTGCCTAAAGTCTTTGGCTAGACAGTATTTTTTCATTCCTTATAAAATCTGATTAATAAGTACATCCTTCTATTGGTGGTGCTTTAGTTGCTAAGTCATGTCCGACTCTTGTGACACCATGGACTGCAGCCCACCAGACTCCTGGGTCCATAGAATTTTCCAAGCAAGAATACTGGAGTGAGTTGCCATTTGCTTCTCCAGGGGATCTTCCTAACCTGGGGATCGAACCTGGGTCTCCTGCACTGCAGGCAGATTCTTTACCAACTGAGCCAGCAGGGAAACCCCATCTTTCTATGAGGGAGACAGCAAAGAGGTGGCAAAAGCACACAGAAAAACTGTACAAAAAAGATCTTCATGACCCAGATAACCATGTTTGTGTGATCACTACCGAGAACCAGACTTCCTGGAATGCGAAGTCAAGTGAGCCTTAAGAAGCTTCACTACGAACAAAGCTAGGGGAGGTGACAGAATTCCAGTTGAGCTATTTCAAATTGTAAAAGATTATGCTGTGAAAGTCTTGCACTCAATATGCCAGCAAATTTGGAAAACTCAGTGTCCACAGGACTCAAAAAGGTCAGTTTTCATTCCATCCTGAAGAAAGGCAATGCCAAAGAATGCACAAACTACTGCACAATTGCACTCATCTCACACGCTAGTAAAGTAATGCTCAAAACTCTCCAAGGCAGACTTCAACAAAATGTGAACCGTGAACTTCCAGATGTTCAAGCTAGATTTAGAAAAGGCAGAGGAACCAGAGATCAGATTNTTCCTTGCCCCAGCCGTTTAAGAGATAACTACTCCAAACAACCTTGGAGAAGAACAGGCCCCCTTAAGACAGTAACTTCCCACATACATGCCTATATATACTCACTCTTTTCTTGGGTAAGTGCAGCAGCTCACTAATCTATCTGACTGCTGCCCCTTTTCGCCTCATTAAAGGTGATCTGTTCCTGTAAAGTGCCGGTCTCGTTCTTTTTCTGAACCTCGCCTTCTCTAACCTCCTTACCTTACAATGGGAAAGATTGAAGGCAGAAGGAGAAGGGGACAACATGAGTTTGAGCAAGCTCTGGGAGTTGGTGATGGACAGGGAAGCCTGGCGTGCTGCAGCTCATGGGGTCACAAAGAGTTGGACACGGCTGAGCGATTGAACTGAACTGAGCTGAAAGAGAAAATGCCCAGAAGACAGCTGAACCCTAGAAACAATATATGTGCTCAGTCTCATCTAAGACCACACTGGTTGCTGAAATCAGAGCTGTGTATGTGCAAAACAACTGAAGGAAAAAGGAGAGATGGTGCAGTAATGTATTTCCTTTTTATAAATGCTGCCGGCAGGAGAACACAACCAGGCAAAAAGAAAATCTGTATACATTATGAAATTTAAGGACAGTAAACATTCTGATTGCATTTCACACTTTCTTAATAAATATAAGCTTAAGCATTTCTCTATCTTACATCCACATAACCACACAGATGTCTCAGTAAACACGACTGTAATGATTGTTTACAGTGGGAAAAACTGGGCCAGTAAAACAGGCAGGTATCATCACTCTCCTTTCTGACCCAGCAATCTACATGCTAAGGTAAGCTTCCCCCAACACAAGCAGTCTGCCAAGAACAAAAATAGGATTATAATTCTTGACTATTGGTTTGAACAATGATGTCTTGCTCTGATAAATTTTGATACCCCAGAAAGCCAGGTAACTGTTTCGTTTGACACTCCTATTCCTGCTGACAGAAGCCTTTCACCAATTAAGATTCCCCCCCTTACGGAGGTGCTAAGTTTCACCATGCCTGCAAATGGTCTTTGTTAAGATCTTTTTACCATCTTTTATATGAACCAGCCCAGATACTAGGTTCTGAATTAAGCATGTTCAGTTAAGCCATAGTCGGAAAACAACTCTACAGGTATCCTAGACCTGCTCATTTTCTCAGCCTGATTAACTACCCACCATTACCCTGAGGTGGGATTCTAACTGGGTCCTGTGGATTTCTAGGCTGCCTCGAAAGAAAATGTGATAAAGAAAGCTGATCAATCCCAAGTCCTAGTCCAAAATGAGACCAACTCCAAAACCTGCAGGAATATAGGCATCATCATTATATACACTTTTAAAATGTAACTGTACAGATTTACACAGAAAAAACCATACTGGAATTTTCTCCAGCATAAGAAATAGACGATGTTCAATTTTAAAGGCTGATTATACCAGTTGCAGTGGCAGCAAATACGGTGGCCGGAGTACAGAGGATGAGCAAGGATGAGGCTGGTAGATATGTGGCTCTAGATCCTTCAAAGGATTAATTAGAAGAGTCTGTCAACCTGCTAACCTTGAAGATGGTATGTGGTTTCTTCAAACTATTTCCTGATTTATATCCCCAATAGCATTCATCCAACTCTTTGTGACCCCATGGACAGTACCTCACCAGGCTACTCTGTCCACAGAATTCTCCAGGCAAGAATACTGGAGGCGGTTGCCATTCCCTTTTCCAGGGAATCTTCCCTTCTCCAGGGATCAAACCCAGGTCTCCCGCATGGCAGGCAGATTCTTTATCATCTGAGTCACCACGGAAGCCCCATAAGATCCACAGTGAGTCCCAAAGATGTGCATTCAGAATGCATATGTGTTTCATTAAACTTTAGAATAATGAAATATATCCTGGCTTAGAGAATGGAGCAGACTGCCCAAATCTTGCTGAGGATAGAAATGAAGCAACTTTTATTTACAAAACAGAAACAGTCACAAATGTAGAAAACGATCTTACAGTTACCAGGAAGGAAAGGGGGAGAGGGATAAATTGGATGATTGGGATTGACATATACACACTAGTATAAAAGAGGTAACTAATAAAGACCTACTGTATAGCACAGGGAACTCAACTCAATACTCTGTGATGACCTATATGGGGAAAAAAGCCTAAGAGAGGAGATACATGTAGATGCATAACTGACTCACTCATTGTGCTGTACACCTGAAAGCAAGTAACATTGTAAACCGACTCTACCCCCAGTAAAAAGTGAAGCAACCTGACAGCATATGAATGTCGAAGGGACATACAGACAGTCACTATACAAGTTGGCTTACACTTTTAAATATCCTCATGTGAACGTTTCCAAAATGCCCATGGGAAAATATGAAAACATGAGTGGGCATGAAGGAAGTCCCAGAGAGCAAACTGGATTTTATAAAAGATATGAGAAAACCCTTTTAATGTATTAATCTTAAATTAATTAGAAGAATCATAGAGTGGGAAACACTCTTGAGGGTTGTCCTTCTTCCACTTACCGCAGTGTCCCTCTAGCTGGCATGACACTGATTATTCTAGCCTAGCCATTCTGTTCTGATAACTTTATGTAATTTCATCAAGAATATTAGTTATCCCTTCCAGATCTATGTCATTTCTAAGTTTAATCAGTATGCATTTTATATATACTCACTTTAGATGCTAATCAAAATGCTAATAAGTTGGTAGACAAATAACAATGAACTTTTTTTACCCTGCTGAATATATAAATCTATGAATGAGACTTCTACAATATGTCCTTAAGTACCCTGGCAAATTTGAAGCAAATTTTTAACCTCTGGGAGTTAGCGCCTT